TGGATATAAACAACCTGCTCATGATTCTTTGGGGAAAATTATTTTGATGAATAGGTGAGTGTAAATTGATGTTTCTCCCATATTTTCAATTCCTTAAATCTAAGATATATGCAGCATTTAATGGCTCATGAATTGTTTACATGGGATTGTGTCTGTTTGTTTATTTTTCTGTGTGTATCCAGTAACACAAGAATATCCATATTTACAAATCTCTGTAGTCAAGAATGAATCCTACATGATACATTTTTTGTAATGGATGAAGAAGTTTTTTTTCTCGTTTTCTCTTTTCAACGTCACTTTGGAATTTCGTCAAAGGGAGGAGTCACTGAATACATAGTGAAACCAGTTATGGGAGTGGATAAAATCACATGGCTCAAAGAAACAAAGTTTCCCATGCAAAGCAATTGAAAATCAAGATGGCTATGAATGGATGATACAGTGTCTGGAATAAAAAGATCAATTTACATAATTCATGGTTTCAAAAATAGGAGTATTCAATTGGCAATTAAATGGAAAAATATTCACAACAACAATAAGTTCAACAAAATGAGTAGTAATTACATATAATAATTTCATTCTGGTGCTCAAGTGTAAAGTCCAGCTGGAATAATATATGAGACTATGTGTACTGTTAGGTGGCTAGATGCCCAGATGTTATCTATGTCTGTAATATAACTGAGTGAGTACAGTTTCAATTAAAATCTACAGAAAACTAACGTAATTCTAAAATTCATTGAGAAGATTGAAAATGCAAAAACTTGTTAGTAAGACAAGAACAGTTGGAGGAAGCAAACTTAGGAAGAATGAGGATTAAACAGACTTTTAATTATTAAATCACTATATTTCTTTGAAATAGAGCTTTTTACAAATGAATCAGGATATAATACAAAAATACATCTTTTTCTTTTACTGTTCACAGACTGATAAGTGGTTGATAGCTGATAGGTGATGATTGTGATAGACAAGTAGTAGATACATAAATAGACAGATATGAGATAAAATATCAATAAATGATAAAGAGACAATTCTTTTATGATACATAAGAGATAATGAATAGATACATAGGTAGGTAGATAGATAAACAGATATTTTCTACATAGAGCAAGTATCAAAATCTATATCAAATAATAGATTAGAAAGCTGTTATGATTGGATTCTCTCTGTATATTTATACATTGATTTGACATATTAGAAGTAAATTCATTTGCAGACAGAATCTTTATAAAAAACAGTCAAGTTAAACTATGTTTGTTATGATGGGGTATGAATAGGATTAGATTCTTATAAAAGGAAATAAATTGAACACAAAATCACAGAAAAAAAATGATGTGCAAGAAATTGGGAGAAGACACTGCGAGAATATTCTGTCACAGTCTCCAAAGAAGCCAAACCTGAACCAGCTTGAATTTTTAGCTCAAGACTCCAAAATTGTGACTCAAACCATATTTTCATCATTACCCATCCGTGTACTTTGTTGTGACCATCTCTAACAAGATCTAACCCTACTAAAAAGTAGGTAGAACTGTAGAACTGACCCAGACAAATGGAAGCAAAAAAAAATTATAAACATGGAGCCATTATCTCACAGAATACCTGAGAAGTGTTTTAGAAAGTAGCTGTAAATCTGTGCTGACTAGCTTCTGTCAACCCAGCACAAGCTAGAGCTATGCAGAAGAGAGCACCAATGGCTGAGAAAATGCCTCTATAAGGCTGATCTGAAAGGCCTTTGGGGCCTTTTCTCAACTAGTGATTGGTGTAGGAGGGTCTAGTTCACAGTAGGCAGTGCAATCCCTAGCATTAAGTCCTAGGTATCACCAAAAAGCAGACTGAGCAAGTCATGGAGGAAACGCAGTAATCAACACTCTTATGTGACTTCTGTATTAGTTTTTGCTTCCTGGTCTCTGCCTTGAGTTTCTGCTGACTTTCCTAAATGATAGACTACAAGCTGTAAGAGAAAGAAGCTCTTTATTCCCCAAATTGCTTTTGGTCATGGTCAATATCACAGAAACAGTAAAGTAACTAATACAGATTTTATTCCTGTGCCATTTGCACATAGTTTTTCCAAGGGTGAAACAGTAATTTCCTTACCTGAATGTGTAGAAAAATATCAAATATAAATGAATATATTTTATAGAATTCAAGCTGTCTAGCACATATTAAAATAAACTTACTAGTTTATGTCACAGAAATAGTGAAGGAAATATGTGTATGGCCACATTCACTGATTTTATTACTCTGTAAGAAAAAGAAGAGTGGGAACATGCTAAACATGCAGTGATAAGATTGACTGAACTGTGCACAGAACAGAATGTGTCATAGCACCTGGCAGCAGGAAGGACCTCCGAGAGACATACGGCCAATGGTAGAGCAGGGGTGAAGGGTGAGCCTTTTTGATTATTTATGTCTCTAAAAAAAAGTTGTTGGAAGATATAGAAACACTTCCTTCAAATAGAACAACATTCTGTGATCACCTCTGTGTATTTCCACCCTCTAGAGTTATGATGTTTGAAAATAGAAGATGCTGATTAATTGCTTAAGTCCCTCGCTCTATTTCTCTAAGTATTGTAATCTTGTTCATGATTACTGTTGCATTAACTAAGCAATAGATTGTTTGAAGTCCTGAAGTGTATTTTATCATGAAGGTTAGGAGCACTAAATATGATAATGTAATTAAAACTGATTGCAAACTATATGAAAAATAGCAAAAAAGAAGTAATAGTTATATTTAATTTAATGAAACATCATCAATGATGGGCAAAAGCAATAGTGAATATTGTTAATGTAATAAAGAAGGAAGAAACAATAGACGATAAATTTTATGGAAAGCACACTGGACATTTAGCTCTACACTCATAGCCAGGTCAGCATTCTTGTTCTGATGTCAATGTATTTTTAGAGCCATGGCTGAGACAGGGAGCATGGAACTGACTGATAGACCACTTCTATAATAGCATCTTGCCCTTGAAAGTGATTTATTATCTTATTGACTTAGATAGGTCTATTGGAAAATAGAGTGACCAGGAGCACTTACCTCCTGGAGTTCTTGTGAGTACAAAATGAGTTATATGATCTCTCATGCAAAACATGGCCAATGTGTTTTTTTTTTCATCAGTTTGATTTATAATGTATATGATATTCTAGGGACATGTTTATTGTACAAGAGAAACCAAAGGCATGAAATCACACTGTACTTTTAGGTGAGACAAAGATGAACCATTATTATTATTATTACTATTACTATTATTATTTGTTATTTGACTCCCATGACAGTCTAAAACTGGATGACTATTGATTAATCTTTGTTGGATTGGGTCATCTGCTTCAGGGCCATTGTAGAATAACCTGCTTCGCGGTTACATACCATTCCAATTCCCTTCATGCAAGAAGCTAAAGGGTGGCAAACACCTACACTTGGCAAAGAAACCACAAAAACAAAACTTAAAGTAGTCACTGAAGCCTACTCTAAATGAAATAAATGTCTTAACCACTGCTAAACTCCACAGTGCAAATGATTGTTCTATATGTCTGCAGAACACCCATGAAATTCACTAAGTTTCTCAGGAGTAAAGACACGTTTAGAAAACCTCATTGTTTACGTTGGAGGTCAAAACTCTATAAAGTTACAATTGAACACAAAAATGTGGGCGAAGCCAGTATCTCACGTTTTATAAATGAGCTAACATGTAGAGAGTCTGATGCCCTTTTCTACAAGATCACAACGGAATTCAACCACCTTTCAGTGCGCAGGCGCGGCTCTCTAGCATTTCCTTGGTGCAGGGCTAATTAAAAGTTCCTGAAACCTTAAACATGGCAATGTCACTAACCGCTGTCTCTATCCAAAGAGCACACAAATAATTTACAAGAACCTCAAGAACAATGGCAATGGGTTTTTGATCCTACTGCACGTATTGGCTTTGTGGGAGCCTAGGCAGTTTGGATGCTCACCTTACTAGACCTGGATGGAGGAGGGTGGACCTTGGACTTCCCACAGGGCAGAGAACCCTGATTGCTCTTTGGGCTGATGAGGGAGGGGGACTTATTTGGGGGAGGGGGAGGGAAAGGGGAGGCGGCAGTGGGGAAAAGACAGAAATCTTTAATAAATAAAAAAAAATTACAAGAGCAGATTTTGTATTCATTTTATTTCCCTTGATGGAAGAAAATCAGTCTCTGTGTTTTCCTGTTTATTTGTTTCTCATGTAGTCAGGCACTCTCTGGTCTGAACCATTGTATGTCGGCTTCCGTGCCCATTCTCCACACCTTCACGCCAAGCATTCCAAACTCCTAATCTGGCCTTGTCTTTGCCCGACTAGAACACTTTCAGTTCACTATTATTCTCCAAACAGGGTCCCAAGTCCTAAACGTCACTTAGAAGCCTGCTACGTCTCTTCCCCTCGTCCCACGTTTTCTTGCCAGCTACCAGATCTCCCACTCTCATCGGAGCTTCACGGCTGACATTTATTCACTTAAAATAACTTTGTTGACACTGGCAATACAAGTGCTTTCTCCCTTAGTCTAGCTAATTCATATTTACTTCATCTTTCTGTCCAAGTTCGCTGGAATTTCTGTGCTCATTGACAGTCTTTCAAAGTGGTTGTTCTTTTCCCCGCCTGCCTTTAAGACCAATAGTGGTTCTTGGACGTGTGTAAAATGGAATACATTTCCCACTGGGTTTTCTTTTCTGTGGACCAAGGGTGGAAACAAGTTCCCTTCTTTCTCTTTGGCTCTACCCTCCAGTGTATTCTGCAGTATAAAAACCTACCTAAGGCTTTGGGACATTTCTCCTAACCCCGTCTCTTGCAACAGATACAGAAATGCTTAGAAAAATATAGTGCTATTATAGAAATCTTCTACTTTCTAAACTATAGCGGATAGATTACATTAGTACATAGAAACTGTCCCATGCTGGAGACCCTCTGTCTGCCTAGTTCTTTCTGCAAGTGAAATATTTCACCAGGCAGAGTGTGTGAGGGGCTCTCACGCCTTTCTTCTGTGTTAGACAGGACTACGAGGAGCTAGAGAAGCAGCTCAAGGAGGTGTTTAAGGAGCGCAGCACAGTCCTGCGGGAGCTGACAAAGACATCCCGAGAACCGGATGGAATCAAAGTCAACCTTCAGGTGAGCTGGAAACTGATTTTGTCACCCACTGGACTGATATACATTTTTAAACAATTTTCTCTACATCTCTGGGCTTTACCACTCCTGTTAATATTTATTATTGTTTTAGTTTTGAAATGGTCTAGAGACCTGCAGTTTCCAAACAGCAAAAGGAGTAAACTGTGTACTTGGTAAAGCTATCAGTTTCTCCCAGCTTCCAAAATCAATTTGATCCCTGTGTTCTTGACATTACAAAGTGAGAAGAGAAATTAGACTGAGAGTCAAAGAATGTAGGAAGGATATTTAGAAGATAAATTTAGATTTTTTCCCCTAGGATAGTTCTAAAGATCCTTTAAGCAACTTCTTTATAGAAATGGATAAATGTTTTACAAAGGAGACTATCATGTTTAAAACAAGAGAAAATAAAAGAAAGATATATTTCAGATAAACAAATCTTTCTAAAACATCTAGTAGTACTTTATTTTTCCTATGAAAGTACTTTTTTATCTTAGTTAAAATAGAAACTTTTTTCAATACATTATGTTCTAATTATGATTTTTCCTCCCCTGACTCCTCCAGGTTCTCCCACCTTCCCTCCCATTAGGACCTACCTCTTTTCTGCCTCTTGTGAGAAAATAAACAGCATCTAAGGCATAATAATATAATAGTATAAAACAATCAGAATAGGACAAAAACAAACAGAAGGAAAAGAGCCAAAGAAAAGCACAACAAACACAAAGACACAGATACACCCATGTTCATCCCCATAGGAAACATGAAAGCAGAAGCCATAACATATACACAAAGGACTGTAAGGTAAAAAGTTTTATGGGACACAATATTATGAGACAAAGAGTGACACTTTTTTGATGTCTGAATTTGCACATTGCATTCACTGAGTACCTACTGTGTACCAAATTCTTTAGGGGCACTGCACGGCTTAATTCTTTTGAATAAGTAGAGGAAATGGTACTTTGATTGTGATTTTTTTATGGCGTATAAGCAATATATTCTAAAGACAGTAGTTATGAAAGTCAGTAAAGAATCCAGAGTTTAAATGTAAGCTAGTTTGCTCCAGAGACTTTTCACATACTGCAGAACTGAGGCTGTCTGTATATTGTCTTGGGCCTCAAGGTCTGCATTATACAATGTTGCCATGACGATACTATGGGGAAGATGATGGTGTGATGGTCTTTGGGAGACTGCACCAGGTTGGAGCATGACCTTTGGGTTCCCCAAAAGCTCCTATATCCCACCCAGCTCTCCCCCCCTCACCTTCTTGCACTCCCTACCTTGAGGTTGGACCCCGTTCCTGTTCCGTGAGTTTTCCCCCTTAATAAAGAAAGGCCTTAAAATACACCATTTTGGAGTAAGCTTGGGATTATTTGACTTGCGTTCTCCCCCTTGCCACAAACACCACTGCCTTTTACCGTTCAGTGTTCAGCTTCTATGGTGGTGGTGCAGTCAACCACTAGAGCATTGGTTTTAGTCCAGCTCACATGCTTGGTTATCTTTCCATAGCTCTTAGCTAATTTCGACATGAAAACCTTATTGTAGTTACTAATCTTCCTTTATAGCTGCAAATACAATGTTTAGAAAAAGCATATAGGTAAGCAATGAGTGGGACCAGCATTGAGATTTACTGTTTGAGCTCTTATGAAAGTTGTGCCATGCATTGAGAGAGTAAAGCGAACTCCCACTCTACAGGAGTGGGATGCATGTAGAAGGATTAGGAGGTGCATGAAGCATAGTTCTGCACATCTGGGCATCAGACTATGAAGAGTGAAGAGGAAGATTCATGAGGCTACACATTGATCTGGTTTTATCAGGGAAAGCCTAGGCAGAGATTACTGAGAACGTTAGCTGGTAAACAAGCCTGGGAGGAATATTCACGACATCTGCCTGTCCTCATGGGGATGGAAGACCTGGCACAGGAGCATATCATCAGCAGATGGCGAAGTGCCCTGGAGAGATCAGTGATTACTGTGTTCCCAGGACACTCTTGTTTCCTTAGTCAAGGTGTCTCCTTATACACCAGAATGTTGCTTAAGAAAAATGATCATGGAGCTGTGATTTTTAAAGGGTAAAATTGTCCCTGAAATTTTGTTACAAGTTTGAGAATGACTTTTTGTCTTGTGGCACATAATACATGAAATGGGTTTTTTGTTGTTGTTGTTGTTTAATCTTAATAAATCCTCTTAGCAAATTTTCCACAAAATTACCATAGCATTACATTCATTATAAAGTGAAAAGTAGAGACTTAAGTAGCTCACTGTATGTGGGTAAGTCATTCACATAAAAAAAAGTGAGATCAGATTTCAAACATAAAGTAAATACATATATAACTATGTGTTATGGGACTTTTCCTGACAAAATATGAACAAAATGGCCATTCATTCCAGATAGGGAACTAGTGACACCCCACAGGAACTATCCCACCTATGTTCAGCCTGGTGAACTGATGAGTTTACATGGAGTTTGCTACGGGAGATGGGGGACATGAGGCTTGGGCCCCAAGCAGCTACCCCATCTCACTGACCTCTGGCAACCTCTGCTGGGATGCTGTGTTTCATTTCTTTGCTTCAAGACAGGCTCCAATATTAACCTTGCCTTGAGCTTACTTTGTAGTCAATGATGAACATGCACATCTGGTCTTCATGCCTTCTCTTCCTTACTATCAGGACTACACATGCCTCCTGCTATGCCTACTTCTTTATGTAGTACCAGACTGTGTCCTAGAGATCTCCACAATCTAGGCAATCATTCTGTCTGCTGCTGAGTTGCATTGAAAAACTTATCCTGTCTTTAATAAGGTGATATTATTAAGCCCAGTATGAGGTAAATCAGTTGGAAGTAATCAGTCACTCTAATTTCAAAATAATTGGCATGTCCTGCCCAGAGGACAGAGTTTCTCAAAATAGGTCTTCCTTATCTATTTAGTTTACTATTTTACTTAAAATGTTTTTTATTTAAAAATATTTCTCTCCTTTTTTTAGTTTCTTCTTTATTTCTTAAAAGTTTCTTATTTCTTCATCTGTTTTCATTTCATGTGAACGAATGCTTTGCCTGCACGTACCTGTGTACCATGTGCATGCAGTTCACGTGGATTCCAGGAGGATGCTAGATCCCTTGTACCCAGAGTTACAGACATGTAGTACACGTGCAGGCCAGGAGGGTGTTAGATCCTTTGTACCTGTAGTTACAGACATGCAGTTCACGTGCAAGCCAGAAGGGTGCTAGACCCCTTTAACCTGGAGTTACAGACATGCAGTTCACATGCAGGCTATGAGGGTACTAGATCCCTTGTACCTGGAGTTACAGACATACAGTTCACATGGAGGCCAGGAGAGTGCTAGATCCCTTAAACCCAGAGTTAGAGACGTGCAGTGTGGATTCCAGGAGGGTGCTAGATTCCCTTGAATCTGGAGTTACAGACATGCAGTGTGGATTCCAGGAGAATGTTAGATCCCTTGGACCCTGAGTTACAGACATGCAGTACACATGGATTCCAGGAGGGTGCTAGATCCCTTGAACCTGGAGTTACAGATAGTTGTGAGCCTCCATGTGGGTGCTTGGAACCAAACCCATTTACATTCCTCTTTGTCTGTTAGGGGAAGCTATTTTTCCTAAACACACAGAGCACTACTTACTGAATTCTTCCTACAAGGAGTCTCAGTTAACCCTTGTCAACCACTAGGTACAGTAAAGCTAAATATTTCTTTATTTATTATTCTCTGTTGAATACCAGATTGAAACTGTTCAGGCAGCACCATGCTTTACAAGTCATAACTCAGGCTAGGTATCTGTTAAATAAACATTAAGGAACAATACACTCACCTCTAAACTGCCGTCATTCCTCTACCTTCACAGCTACTCTGTAGAAACTGTTATTGCTCTCTAAACTTTTAATATCAAGTATAAATGTTACTCTATCAAGCAGTTTACTGAGTATTAATAAGGATGTTATTAAGAAACATTTTATATGACATATCCATGTAGAAGAAGAACTGGGGGGGGGCTTCTCTGTTCTAACTGATGGCTCTGAATTTGCAAGTATATAAGTAATGACTAGAGAGGCGTATGTTATTTTCTTAATACCTGTGTATAGTGACAAGGGATAAAGTTACGTGGCCCTCTGTCTTTTTGTATCCTAACACATTACTTAGAAATGACACAGACATGAACGAAGAAGCTTTCAATTCCCATCAGGTTATTTCCTCAACTGTGCAGGCAAGCTTTCTATGAGCCCTTCCATTTGCTGGAACTACACAAGAGCTAATTCAAAATACCTTCTGTGGACACACTTTAAAGGAATGGGAGAAGGTATTTTTTTAATTTATTTGTGAAGAGACTTGTTGAAAGGAGAGAGGGCCTGTTTTTTGTCCTGGCCACCCAGCTAGCTTACACCTGAAATAATCACACAGAAACTGTATTCATTTAAATCCCTGGCCCATTATCTCTAGCCTCTTATTGGCTAATTCTCACTTCTTGATTTAACCCATCTCTAATAATCTGTATATCACCATGAGGTCACAGCTTACCGGGAAAGATTTAGCATGTCTGACCTGGCGTCTCCATGGAGGCTCTCTCACCCTGCTTTCTTCATCCCAGAATTTAGTTCTGTCTTCTCTAGCCTACCTAAGTTCTGCCCTATTAGGCCAAGAAGTTTCTTTATTAATTGGCCAATGAAAGCAACGCACAAACAGAAGGACCTCCTACACCATTTTCCCTTTTCTGTTTAAACAAAAAAGGCTTTATGTTTAACATAGTAAAATTATATATAACAAAAAGAGACTGAGAAGCACATGAGATAACTCAGGGAGTGAAAGTGCTGTCCAGGCAAGCCCAGTGGCTGGAGTTTTATGCTTGGGACACACGTAAATCTGAAATAGAGGGATTAACTCTGCAAAGCTGTCCTCTGACCTGCATATCTGCCTGATGACGTGTTTGAAAACACATATATAACATGTACACAATGCACACACACACACACACACTTGAAAATAAAAATATTTAAGATTTACTTGAAAGAAAATGAGGTATTTGCAGGTTGTTTATCTCCAACATCTGAATAGTGAGCTTCCGCTCAAAGCCATTCTTGTATTAGAGTTTAATATGTCCAACTATGCATCCTGACACCCTGTGTGTGTCCTTGGCACCATCAGTAGCTGGGAGGACTAATTTTTATATCTTTGTTCAATAAACCAAGTGCCTTAAAACCTGGCAGTAAATATAGACAATAAAGTGAATGAGAGGGTTTTATCTAAGACTCCTTTCCCGCATTTCTCTTTCAGTCTTTGAAAAATGATGAGCAATCTTCCAAAACGGATGTTCAGAAGCTTCTGGAGTTAGGCCAGAAGCAGAGGTAAGACTGGAGTTCTATATTCCTTTCTAATCTTCCTTTTCTTTTAGTTTAAGACTTCCTCCTCGCTCCTATTTTTGCAATACTATTAAAGCTTAGCCAGGGAGTTTATCAAAACTGTAATGTGTGAACTTATCTTCTTGTGGACACTTGGGTGTTTATGAAATTTATCCAGGACTTTGTGTGAAGAGCTGTGTGAAGAGCTGTGGATGAGATGTGAGAGTCTGCATTTCAAGTAGTAACTTGGTAAAGGTTAGTTATGCTCAAAGCAATTAAGTGAATAGCTAAGACCCATATCCTTTGGGTTTGAATATTTTTTAAAATGGTCAAATTCAAGGTCCACATCATTTCATGTGGTCTGTTTGGTCAACAGACAAAATGATGTTAAAAAATATTACACATCTCAAGTAACAGAATGATGTGTTTCTTAATCATGTGTCCTGTCATCAGCCTGGGTCTCCACTGCTGACCTTACATACTGACCCTGAAACCTGTTATTGACGTGCTTTCACATGAGGTCACACTGTGGTTAAAATATCCATGTCATGCATTACTCTCCATTGTTTACAGAGATGTAATGTTAAACTAATTTGATAGTTCTTTGTTTATTGCCTTTCTTTTGATTTATTTTAGCAACAGCAGTGGGCCACAGGCACGACAGACACTTAGCCATCTACGGTCTGGTTAATATTTAAACCTTTTGTTTTCTTTTCTTTTTGTTTGTTTGTTTTGTTTTGCTGCTTTTTTATTTCTGTGTGTTTTGGGTTCCTCATTTGCAAAGTAAAGCTAGTTATCTTAATGATTATAAAAAGGGCTTGTTTGAAGGAATCTAAAGATGTTGACCTCTTAGAAATGGGAGGTACATAGTCTCCCCATTCTACTGGGGCACTTGAAGTGTTGAAGTGGATAGAAATTGATTTAAAAAAAGATCTTATTTAAAAAGAAAAGGTTGGGATATCTATTGACCAACATAGTAACAATTTAACAAGGTATTTTTTAAGAAAACATATGAACAAAAGGAATCAGCCAAAACAAAGATTTGTGAAAAATACTTCTTTAACAAAGGATTTTATCTCAATCAAAGGAAATTAATAAAAAACATAATAGAAAAAAAAACACAAAAATAGTATCTGGATAACTCAAGTCAATTGTCAGGGATTAAAGAGGGTGGAGGAACTGGGCCTGACGCAAAACCTTTGAAGGGATGTCCCAGAGGGGATGGACTTCAGTGTCCAGCATAGGCAAAACCTTTGAAAGGGTCCCAGAGGGGATGGACTTTAGTGTCCAGCATTGATACCTCACAGTGGGTAGCTCTGCAGAGAATGGAACAGTTCATTTCAGGAGAATTGTTATGCTGAGTCTGTTTAGGAGGAAAATGAGATGCAAGCCATTGGAAAATTATGGTTTCAAGAGGAGAGGAAGGACTGTGGAAGGAAGATACATTTTTCTTAGAATCATATGGCTTCAGAAAGTTCAGTCTCCCTCACAGGAAAGCACAGGTGTGGGGCCTGAGCTGTGACAAAGATGAAGACAATCCATGCCTTTGTTTTCACTATACATTCTCAGATCCCTGTGTATGTTTATAACGACACAGAAAGCCTTTAGGCCAATTAGGAGATTGGCATTAAGTCTGTAAAATATGTTTAAGTAATCATCTACACCCCACCTTCATACACAAGTTCTCAGAGGACTGAATATCTGTTCCAACAAAAAGGTGAAAGAAAGCAGATATGTTGGCCCTGAAATATTAGAGTTTTATACAAAATTAGAAAACTTGTTGAATATAAATAACTCATTTTATGTGTACCATTAAAATCAGCATAAAAATTTCAGTAAATTTTAGCCATGGCTATAGGTAACTTTTTCAAACTAAAACTGTCTGCCGTAGAATTCCCCTCATCAACAAATAACTAACTTACAGAGTATTTGTGTGTATCTGGGGACAAATTTTTAAGTAAATCTAGAGGGTGTGAGAGATCCACACACAGCTACATGAAGAGATAACTGGACAGTTCACTGCTAACAAGAGAGAAATATGTGTGTGATGAGATATGGAAATAACAGATTCTAAATAGTTGATAAGTGCTTGATAATCACATTAATAGATGATAGATAACTCACGGTGCCTTATTTCGACTATTAAATAGAACATGTTCATAATATATAACTACCTGGATAATATTGACAGAAGCCCCTCGGGTTGGTAGAGAGACATTAGACTACATAATGTCAGTACTAAAGAGCTGTAAGCAGAGAAACGACCCTGGGAGTGTCCTCAAGTGTCTTAAGAGTAAATGAGAAAGCATACTTTGTTCTCTCTGGTGACTTGGGGGAAGACTCAGAACGCTATGTGACTATTGACCACTGACATGCTTTCTGGGAGCCAGAAGGAATCTTGGGAGAGAGACAAGCCTTTACTCTGTAAATTACTGATTGACACAGCAGCTCATCACCATCTGAAATTCATGCCTTCCTGAGAGGAAAATGGAGATTAAAATAGAGATGCAAAAGCTGCCCAGTGCTTGCACAATATGAGAACCTATGCTAAGATAATCATGCGTGTGAGCAATCTCCTCCTGATGCTGGAGCTACCCAGTCTTAGAACTAGAGAGTTACTTCAGCACCAAAGAGGCTCTAAGGCAGCCAGGCCTAACTAGTCAAATCTTCCTGAGGTGGGGTGTGATGTTGAAGCAAAGAAGCCTGAAATCATCTAGCATAGCATAGAAACTGGGAGTATGGGAGTCAGGCTTCAGAAGCTGGAGAACAGTGGGCTGGTTAAAAATGTATATTAGAAAGGAAGATAGAATGAAGTGTGCTGAGAGCTGGTCGGTAGATGTAAGGCCAAGCTACCCATCACACAGTAGCCCTGTTTGACATAGAGATGTACATTTCTCTGCTTCCACCATCTAAAAATATTGGACTCACTTATATTTATATTTGTGTATTTTATTTTATTGCAGAGTGTTTTTCTGATCATATGTATGTGTACCACATGCCTGCCTGGTTCCCATAGAAGTCAGAACAGGGCGCTGGTCCCCTGAACTTGGTTATGGTGCTCAGAATTGAATCTGGGTCCTCCTACAAGAAGAACAAATGCTTTTAACTACTGACTCCCTCCAGGCCCTTTGTCCAATTTTCACTAACATATTACTGCTTGTTCTTTCTCTTTTCCTATTTGGCTATATAGCATATGGGATTTTTTATTCCCCTGTCTTTTGTAATATAATTTTATTAGATTATTATTCCTTGTCCAAAACTAGCAATAAGTAGTCTAAACACAAAATCTAGAATGAGAAGTAGTAGCTACTATAAAATGATCTTGACTTTTTTGTTGACTGTATAATTCATATTTTAACTTGTACTTGCAAAAGACTGTTTTTCCTTCCTCCCTAGCACCCTTCCTTCATTTTTTCCCTTCTCAATAAAAGCAGTGTAATGCCTGTCTACATGTGTGAGCACATATGCTGCGAACACCTGCCACTGTCCCTGTGGGTCTCAGTTTTCCATCACTCACAGATATCATATTTTGAGGTGATAGGTGTATCTATTGCATATGATCATATTTTATATTATACTGAATTTAGTATTTGAATGTCATTGCAATATTTAGTTATTATGTCACAAAAGTTCTTCAGTTAAAAATCTGGTATTCCAGATAAAAATATCCATATATGAATATACCTGTGAAAGCTGAAATTTAGCTTTAAACCATGGATTACGGATTTGGCCTGGACCACAATGATTCCAAAATTTATTCGCTCTCTCCTATCTCCCTTTTTCTGTCTCCCAGAAAATTAAATTTGGGTGACCGCAGTACCTAAAGTTGAGATCTAGAAGGCACAGAGTATTCCTGCTAGAGGAAAGAGCCTGTGCTGTGGGGTATTCTGATCAAAGAGTATACTCACAGTCTCTATGAAGTTGTTTTCTTTTTAATGATTGTAGAATAAGTACTTTTCTTTTCTAGACTCCCTGCTAAAAATTTTGTTTATTGTGTCACTTAAACCTTGCCACAAGCCTACAAAGTGTTTTTATTATTGTGTCCAGTTTTAAATGAGGAAATTTACAAGGAGGGAATTTTAACATTTGCCCAAATTACCAGAGCTAGTTTTCCAGAAACTGATGGCCAAATTTAAACCAGTTTTGATTCTCATGAAATAGAACAACACTTTGCTTGGTTGTTGTTGCTCTTAAGCAACTTCTCTAGGCATAGTCACATATCATATATGTGTACTGTATTACACACACATGTGCTTGTACATACACACATACACACACTAACTTTTATAATCTAATATTTTTGAGGTGATAGTTTGAGTGACAAAATCAAGTCAAAGCAAATTAATAACCTAAATCCAATATGCACAAATTTTAAATCTTTAAAAGAAATGAGTAAGCACATAAAATAATGGCTTTCATCATGGCATTCACAAACATGCACACACATGCATGTATATGCACACACACACACACACCTAGTCACTGCATGATTGTTATTGCTCATTCCCCTAACCCTTACACTGAGAAATTCTCTTGACTTCCATTGTATCTGTAAGAAACAATGTGATATTTATCTTTCTCCAACCACCCCAATCAAAAAACATAGTCTGTGCATACTAATGATCTTGGGGCCCAATTGCCATTCATTTAAGGTCATATATTTTCTTTCCCGTGCCCATTAAGCAATAATTAGAATTAAATCTATTTTCCTTGTGTTTTCATGAAAAATTATCAGGTGATAGCTAGGCCACAATACTGCAAAATTAAGAAATTAATGAGGATCAGAAGGTTACAATAATTTCTTTCAGAAATCTATTATGACTTTTGACTTAACATGTTCACGCCCTACATGTCATCAGTGAAATTAGCTTTCCAACTTGAGTTGGTATATTGAGCTGATTGAACACATTCATTGTTCACATTGATTCACACTGTGGGATTCTTATAAAGCATAATAACAAGGCAATTTCCTTTAAATATCACCTGCTTTACGTGTGTGCAAGGAAAGAAAGCCCGTTGTATCAGAGTATTTAGATGTAGCCTTTTGTATTGCTGTGGATTTTCATAATTATAGTTAGCTGTTCCTTAAATGTAGATTGATAGACAAACTTTTTTTTGTAAGGTTCATGGGAAATAGTGGAATCATGTATCTCTTCTTTGTTCTTTTTTCTACTAACCTAGGGAAGAAATGAAGTCTCTCCAGGAGGCCCTACAGAATCAGATTAAAGAGACATCTGAGAAAGCAGAGAAACATCAGGCTACAGTGAGTGTGTTTGTGTCTCTTTGTGTAATAGCTTTGGGGTTGAGAAATTATGTCTTCCTTTGCTCCAATCACAAAAGAAAAATACACTATAAAAAGAAAATAATGAAGTCTCCACAATAGAAGCTTCAGTCATTTTGATCAGCATAATATTTTGCCACAATTTACTATAAGAAAAGGGTGAACATTGTGTTTAATTTGGTGATCTTCTGACTCCTACTGATTCTCTATAAGGGATGAAGAAAGAGGCTGACCAGGCAGAGAACTAGATCACTTTAGTGGTTCCTGGATGGGATGGAAGCTGAACTGAAAGCCAGGTAACCTATGTAGATCCTTAAGCTGTCCCAGACAACCATGGCATGGGAATCACTCAGGGGCAGGGCCATACTATCTGCTTGTTCAAACGCCCTACAGATTATTCATAGGATCCAACTGCTTCCCAGATCTTTGCAAGATGATGTCCTTTTGACACTCACACTGTGGCTCTTATCAGTGATATTCACCAGAGACAGGAAAATTGGCTCCTGAAGCAATGATGGGATATCAGTCTAAAATTTATTTCTCAGACTCACTTTTGCACCTCTTGCAAAGATAAGACTTCTATATAATATCTAGTGCCCGGATATCCTTTTAAAATTTATATAATACCAAACTCTGTTTGCTAGAGGTCAAATGTATTACTGAGAAGATGGATGGAATGATATACCCAGGGCCCACAAGGGGAATGCTAGTGCTGGCCAGCAGAGAGAACTGGACAGCAGATCCCATTATGATTTAGGAGACAGTGCAATGGTGAGACAGCTAAAGAGGCTCAGGATGGGCAGTGTGAACAACGCAGTAACTTGGGACATAGGAGCTACCCCACATTGTGGGTCTAAGTCACTAGGGCAGGTCTGAAGTGGTTTGAAGTGTCTCTACAGTGTGTTATTCTTCAGCTGATTGATTGTTATTTGAAAGTATGGTCCTGAGAGTACATGACCTATTGTGGCTCCAGGGAAGGAGGCAGAAAGAGAGAGAAGGGTATTTCAAGCACATTATCAGGCTAAGGAGAAAGAAGCTGGTCCAGCACATGGTTCTTGGAACAGACTCCTTCTGGAGTGCCAATAAAATATAACATCAATTTTAGAAACAAGATTCATGAAGGTATCCATCTTGTTCGGTTACTGGAAGCCCAGGCTCTCTAGAAACTGTGGTGAGCCTTTTATTTGCAAAGCTTCTGTAAACGTCGGGTGGAGTGTGGAGTTTTGATTCTGAACCTCAGTTCAGTTTGTCACCCAGGACTGCTGAGTCCTAAGGGCAGTCTTTCTCCTAATGACGACCTGCTTTGCAGTCTTAGGAATGTTTCCTGGCAAGTTCTCATTATCTCTTCCAGATAACAATGCTGAGGACAAATGAAAACAGTCACTGAGTTTATGTAAAATGTTCTAGTGCTTGACTACCTGGGCACCAAACGTTTTGTAAAAGAATGGACAGGTTTTAGTGCTTCCTAGTCGACGTTTCCCTCAATATGGACTTAGAATGTTGGATGGCTCTGTCTGTGACCTCATTTGTGCTTTGCCCAATTAGACTTCATTTGAATTTATCTTGGGGAATTTAATATGATAAAAAGTGGTGGTTTTGAGAACAGATGTGCTGTATTCACTATTTTCATATTTGTCATAAAGTCATATTTTATTGACTGATTCCTAAGAAGCTGTAGCTCACAGGAGGTAAACTCCTGGCTCGCTTTACATTGCTAGTGGGCAGAGCAAGCAAGGCACACACCACAGCAATTCCCACACTATATGCAGACAGAGTTCCAGGGAGAACACTGTCACTCTTGAAAGGGCAGAGGTCCAAGATAGAATATCCAGCTGTGGAAATGCCCTGGGTACAGAGTATGGCCCCTGTGCCCCACCCAGCATGCTCTCTGTACCTTTCTTGTGGATTTCGCTCAGAGCTGTGACAATCCTATTCCCACTTTCCTCATATTTCTATTAAGCCCAACCCTGCTTGTGCAGACTGGCTTAGCATTCCATTCTGAGGATAATTCCTAGTGGAACAGGATTCTGTGGACTTGATCAATTTCTGCCCGTTTGTTTATTCATCCAATTAAGACAGTGTAACACATTAAAATAATAAGGGCTATTATTACGATTAAAATAAAAATACTATACTATTAAAATATTATATAGAAATTATATTATCATTATTATACAGAAATATTGTAATATATTTATAATTGAAGGTGTAATTATGTCTGGCTTATAGGCTATAGTAGACTTGAAAGTGATATCCTGTCCTTCCTTCTCTGCCCACCATTTTTATTACAAATTCATATATGGTCATTTCATTTCCCTCAGGTTCTCCTACTGACTACTTACAAAGCTCTTCATTGGTGATTATGATTCTGTGCACACAAGGTACTAAGCAGAAGGGATGATGAATGTAACTAACTTCAAAACTGTAGGCTATCATTGCCACTACTACCTGCTAATGATACAGGAAACATTCTCAAGGATGACATAGGATTAATGACTGACAAGGGCAGACTCATATAATGTAGTCTGCTCTGAATCATTAGGGATGTTCTAATGTTTCTATGCTAAGTCATTACTAATCAAAACCATTTAGATACACAATCAGGACACTATCATGGGTCTCCAGCAGCTCTTCCCACAGGTTGACAATGAGCTGTGTGAGATTGATCTGACATTCAGAATCACAAAGGTTCCTATCACAGGTGTGAGCTGTATCACTGATCTGACAATGATCTCTGACTAAACACCTGAAACTTCATTGTATTTAGTAATTGCAAGACAACTCAATTTTGGTAATGCTTTGTATTTTCTGACCTACAGATGCGCTATCATTGTTATTTACTATAATTGAAATACGTTTAAAGTCACATGTGTGCCAATATTTAGAAGTACGTAAACATACACTAAGTGTATGTGGACACATGATGGTGCTTCAGAATAATCGTGTGCTGGGAAACAAAGAATTGTATTACAACATAAAACATATGTCCTTTAGGCATTATTTGTGTTGGAAGATTATAATGAAGAAAAGTAATTTTCAACCTAAGCTGTCATCATTTTTTTTAATATTTCTAGTTCTAAGGCAATGGGATGATGTGAAGAAGTACCATACGATAGGCTTCATTCCTGAACTGAAGTTAAAAAACTCATCACATCACCCAATGTGACAGCAAAAACCATAAAATGTGTGCATTACAAAGAGAGCAGCTCATAGAATAAAGCAAAGATTCCAAGTGACCAGCTTCAAAGAAAGCCTCTCCTGAGGTGAGTCCAGGTGCGGAAAGGGAAGGACTCTTTTCGTTTTCTTTGATCTTCCCTGCAAAGAGATGAGAAAGAGATGAAAGGAAGATGGTGAGGATAACAGCAAGTATAATTGAGTAACTTTCGGTGCAGACACTGTATTTCCATAGTGGGAACTCTTTATGCGACTGAACTTTCATGGAAACCGACAACTTGGAGCATCCCAGGACAGGGGGGTGATCAAATATCTACGTGAGTTGTGTTAGTCCCACACACATAACTGCAGAACTAGAAGATTACTAAATACAAGAAGAAGAGCAAGCAAACTAACCAAAATCCTGATGTATTAGAAACCACATTGAATTGAAATAGTTTAACTATATTAACACAAAATCTTAAAATGGGAGCAATAAAGTTAGAAGTATTAGAAAATGTATATAAAGATGCTAAATTTGAAAATTGAAACTTTTACTGTTCATCATGAACAAATTAGGAAAATGAACACAATATACCATTCAAGGAAAACAACTGCCAAGATCCTAATGTTTTCGAAAGAAAAATCTTTACAGACAAAGGTGTTACTAGCAATAGCTTTGCAAACTCCAGGAAAACCTGAAATTATCACACTCTGCTTTGCCCTAAGCATAGAACTTCACACACACAGCTTCAAACCCATCAATCTATATGTAAGAGCAAAACAGAGCAAGTGACCAAATATTGTTAAAATACCATTGATAGTGTAAACTATTACAAATATCTGAGAAATCTCCAATAAAGTTTCTAAACAGGTGAAAACATATGATGTATAATACAAAAATAAAACATGAATTGGTACAAAAGTGATTCTATATATTAAAAACTACTAGTGGTTTATTAAAAGTTATTCTAGTTCATTATAACACCATAATTCATTTGCAATGGATACGTCATTCCCTAATTTCTCGGTATCATTTATATTAATGAGAAATAAAAATAAAAATAATAGTGTGCAAATAAATGCTTAGTGATAAGAGATTCCTTTAAATTAGTTTGTTGATAAAGTACTAATACCAATTTTTTAAGTATCTTAAAAGTAAATAAATAATGACAATGGAATATTTATGACTGTGTCTGACTAGGCCACATATGGCACCAAGAGCAAATGGCAAGCAATGATCTTCACAAACAATGCTGCAGTTACACCAAAAAAAAAAACAATATCAAACTTGTTAAATCAACAAATTATAAAAAAAGATAATTTATGAAGGAAAAGTGAATTTGTAACAAAGAATTCAAGGATGGTTCAGATATTTGCATTAATAATGGAAGCATACCATATCAATAATATGAAGATGAAGAATACATGATCAACAGATGCACAAAAGGCACTTGATAAAATGCAATCACTTCATGAAAAACCGAATGAATAAGGAAACAAAGATTTATATCTTAATGTGCAGATTTCTTACAGACTCAAAAAGCTAATATTATAGTAAATATTGAAAGTTTGAAAGCTTTATGACACTTAGAGCAAGAAAAGAATGCTAATTTGTCACGACTTTTAGACATCCAAATTGGGAAAGTGAAATTCAGATCATCACTTCTGCAGATGCTATGATCAAATATATCAAAACCCAAAAATATTTACCAGAAAGATCTTTTAAATCATGATTAAATTCCTCAGTGCTTAAGGGCACAAAGCTCATGTAAATGTGAATATTGTTCTCATGTCCTGAAAGTGAACAGCTAATATAAATATCAATT